CTGCGAGAGACGAACATTACGCGGTTTCCACGGAACAATAAATGTGTCACTTAAACTTTCACTTTAGCTATGAAAAGAAATGCGAATATAAAATAAACACATCATGAACGATATCGACATGAAATGTAAAAAATAAGCTAAAGTTTCGTTATTTAATTTTAATCAAAGTTAAATTAAACTGCATTAAACTTTGCGCAGGCAAACTAGATCTTTAGCACATGTTTTGTTCTAAATCAAAAATACACATATATTAACCCTTTCCACTCGGATGCCGCCGGCGGCAAAATTAATATAAATCTCGGAATTCGCAAGTGGAAAGGGTTAATATTTTGTAATTATTATATATTTACATATGGAATTTGGAACCAGGAAATTTATTTGATACCAAAAATATAGATTTATAACTTAGTGATGATTTTTGTTTTATATGACAAGCCTCGATCAAATAAAATATAGATAATATTTGTGTGTCTTCTAACAATGTGGGGCCATTGTGGAACTGTCTGCTATTTCAAAGGGAGTTGCCATAGATTTATGTTCATACATCAAAATTCATAAAAAATATGATAATAATAAAACACATTAAAAAATATTACTTTACAACCGCTTAATATTATCATAAATGTAAGGTACTTGATAAATAATATATGAACTAGAACAATTATTGTTCAACATGAACTATCATCAAGTTCTTTTCGTGAAACTTGATCTAAAATATAATGTTTTTTTAGATTTAAAATCTAATAAATTTGATGTAAGGGGGCGTCCCCTCTTATTGATGTAATCACGTGAGGCTTTTAGGGAGAGGGAGGGTTTGACAAAAAATCACGTGGGGGAGGAAGGGTCTAGCAAGATATCACGTGTATTTATTTTTTACCTAGATTTTCCAAAAAAAAACAAAAACTCTACGTAAATTCGGAAAATTCGTTTGGAACTAAAAATACACGTGATGTTTGGTGGGGGGGGTAATCCTAAATATCACGATGTATTACCAAAGGGGAGAGGGGGTCCAAAAATCTCTCAAAATTGAATTACGTGATTAATGGTCGCCCCCTAATATATGTAACATGATGATTTTTTAATTAAATTTATTATTAATATATTTTTTGGTAAAAAAATATAAATATAATGAGTTTTAATATTTTCTAATACCACTACTATCTAAATTAATTTTACATAAATTTTTCACAATATATTTTTATTAATAAAACATTTTAAAAAATAATCATCTATCGAGGCATGGACTAGCAGAAAATTATATAAATGGATCATATGCTTCAAAATAAAACAATTTTATGTAACAATTTATTAATTTTTTATATTTAAAAAAATATATATAATTTTATAATAAAAATAATAAATTAATAAATAATATTTTGAAGCTTTTATGCAAAATAACCACATTATTTACGAATGGTAAAACAACCACAAATAATTTCACGAATAATAGGAAAAAATATATTATTCCTTTACTTTTAATAAACTTCGAATATTTAAATTGTACATTTACAAAGTCTTTATATTAGGTAATTGCACAATAATTTAAATTGATTATAATTATAAACAACTACGTGTGTGTATAATCAAAGAAACGATTTATTATAACTCAATAAAATCTAAATATTTATTGCGAAAAGGCATCCAAATAAATCATTAAAACTGGAATATTTTATTCAATTTCACATACTATCATTTCGATGAATTAATTAATTGAATTATGCGTGAAAGTAATAATATGAACAAAATGAAATGTAAATTAATTTTTACATTTTTATAAACAATATGATGACTTGAAAGAAAGAAGAGGTATATAATATTAAATATTTAAAGCAATTTACATTTTAAAGAATTCTGGTACTGGTAAGACTGGGAAGAAGTTTGTTTTATTTGTTTTATGCAACATCTTTTTATTTATATATTATTAGTAATTACATAGTGAAATAAAAAAAATCCAATTGATTTCAAATCGTTAAGGGCTTCACCCAAAACCACTTTAGAAAACCTCAAAAGTACCAAACTTACTTATTATGTTACAGAAATTGAAACAATTTTGTAATAATTTATTAAAGACAATATAGTTAAATACATATGATAAATAAATAACAATAGTAGAAGTAGCCAGTGTTACTTCTACTTCAAGAGTCAATTGGAATAGTAGAATATTGAAGATTTAAAAAAAATCCAATGATACATTGAACTGTATCCAAAACTTCTATATCGAAATTCATGATATATATCTTTATATAATTCATGATATTATTTCCAGTCATGAGAAAGATTCTTGTAAATATCTGTCTGCACATTATGCAAAAACATTCACGAATTGAATGCATTCTTTAAGTTTAACAAAACAAGTGATCGTACATGTAATGAATAATTTATTAGAGGCAGAGTTGAGTTCAAGTCTTGAGATAAGTTTAGTTTGCTTAAAACTTTGTTCATCAAATCAAAAAGTAAGAGCTGCATATGGAAATGATTGGAGGCAAAATGCAATTGCTATTTGAGTAACTGTTTAAAAAGAATAGGACTATTTAGAATTTGTGCCCTAAAGATTTGTTGCTCATTTTCATAAATGAAATGTAGAGAAAATATATGAGGATTCATGTTATTGAAAAAAATAGTCTAAACCCCATATCCGGGTTAGAATGCTTCACATTAAAACCATTCATCAGCGCCCAATAAAAAATAATGAGTTATTTTCTGTTAAATTGTTATATACATTTTATTTATGCGTTCATATCAAATCTATAAATTATGTGTTCAGTTTTTACATTTTTCATAATAAACATATTTATATTGTTTACTAAAATACAGAAAACTCAAAGCTTGAAAAAAAGTACCAAAAAACTAATCATTATTATCATATAAATCCATCATTTCAAATACCAAAAAAATATTAAAACATGAATTAAATTTAAACTTTTCACAATTCATTAACTTTTAATTATCGTTATATAACAACTAGCAAAAAAATAATAAGAGTGCAAAATAATTTTATTCTGATATCTCACGAACCGTATCGTGAGCCATTGTTATAATTTCATGTCTTTGTGATACGAATGTTGGAAATAACTCGATGTTTTGTCCTAAACAAAAATTTAATTGTGTTTCTGAACAAAGACGATATTTTGCTTTGACATTAACGAATTTCCGACAGTGATCGAATGAAAAATAATAGTTAAATCGATTCTGTAACGGAATAAATAATTATATTTCAGTTAAGTAGATGGGAATTTAGTTTAACTTTTGTTTCCTGGTAGAATTCCAAAAATAATGTTTGTTATAAATTCATATAATATTATTGGTACCATTATATTATTGGACCACCACTGTGTTTTCTGATACATCTTTTCTTTCTTCCAAAAAAAAATTACTTGATGTCATATTATTAGACAGTTGTAATTATTAAAATAAAATTAAATTAAATCTAAAAATTCAAGATATAAAAATAAATATTAAATAAAAATTCAAAATAATATTAACAAACTAACAGATTAATAATATTAATAGTCTGTGAGGCTTTTATAAACGAAGAATTAAGTTTATTATAATTTATAATATTATACCCTTAGAGTATCAGAAGCTTAAGTTCATATAGTATCACTTATATTACCAAAAAAAAAAATAAACTAAAAGCTTCGACCATATGTTCTACAATGCAAAGAAACATGGTTCCTTCATTTTTTAAACAATTAGATGCACTGTTTGCTTATGTAAATTATTCATAAAATAATTTCTTTCGGCAAACCTAATCAGTAGCATGTATGCGACCTTCAAATTTCTATGTCAAGATTATCAACTAATAAAAATTAATAAAAAAAAAAGCTTTATACCGAGTGCGTAGTCGTAATCAACCATGTCAAAAGTCAATGCCAAAAATGTTTTTATCAAATAACTGTAGTTAACGGTACCAAAATAAACAGTTATCTTAGGTAAATAATATAAATTTATAGCAATGTAATAACAAATTTACAACTTTTG